AGTTCTTAGCCTGAATATAAGGCTCAATTCAGACTGAGCTTCATCATTTAGCTTTGTCTTTAGGTATCACCAATACGCAAACTCTGAAACAATACAACTGCATAACTGTGGACCAAGGACGACAAGCTTCTCTCAAGGGACTGTGGGCTGGCTGGGTGCACACACAAGTGAAGCCAGGCCAACTCTTGTTGTTTCATTGTTTCAGTCATATCCAACTCTTCATGACCTCGTTTGGGGTTTTCTTGCCTGGGACATTAAGGTGGTGTGCCGTTTCCTTCTCCAGCTCATTTTACAGACGAGGAAACTGAGGCAAACAGGATTACATGCCTTGCCCAGAGTCACACAGCCAATAAGTATCTGAGGCTGGATTTGAATTCAGAAAGATGAGTCTTCCTGAATCCCGGACAAGCACTCTATGCACTTTACCGCATAACTGCCTAATTACCAGCACATCCCTATCTCTAAGCAAGGGTTGAATGAATACTTCTCTAAAACACGTTAGAAGGACTTCTTGTTCATGTATTGACGGAACTAAATGGCATCTGAGGTCTCATCCAGTTCCAGGCTTCTATGATTCTTTGAAAATACCGTGATCTACTAAATATGTGCTGACTCCTATGGCTACTACCCTCCCACAGTCTCCCCATACAACTCTACAAGCCAACAGACAGTGCCCCTGCCTCCAAAATTCCCCCCTCCCTTAAATAATTTCCATATTATACTCCTGATGTAAGGGATAGCTGTCATGAGGCATCTCTGGTCCACAACTTCATCTATGGTCTTTCTGCCGCTCTATTCTATTCCTCTGTGATGACGTAAGGAAAGTAAAGCCTCTATTAACTAGGATACTCAGAGAAGAGGAAATACTAGTTAGTTGGGAGTTTGTGGTGAACTGAAATTGGTTCAGTGGAAAGAATATTGAGCTTGGAGTCAAAAGATCTAGACTTGAGTTCTGACTCTGCTGCTTACTAGAAAGCTGCTTGATTCCTTTGGGTTTCAGTTTGCTCCTCTGTAAGTAGGAATAATAATGTTTGCATTAATTATCTCACTTGGTTGTGGAGAGAGGATCAAAGGAGATAATAAGTGTGAAAGGGCTTTATAAGTGTGAAGTACTATCTAAATGTTAGTTCTCAGGTTTTTTTTTTTTGAATGAGAAACATTTTTAATTTTAACTCTTCATGCTAAAAATTAAAATCTAAAATAATTAGTTCAATTTCTTGCCTGTGTAAGTACAATACACTGAACATAATGGAATAGTTGTTTGATGAATGAGGATTTTAAATGAAACTAGAGTCATAATTCTGAAATCATTCATCATGGCAGGCTGGTAGAGAGGAATCAGAGAAGTCATCCAGGGGACTGACTAGTTCAGCTGAAACATCAAACCTAGTGAGATATTAGCCAAGTACAACATGGATGTGGAAGAATTTGTTTAACACAGAAGCTATGTTTATCAAAGAACTTTTATGGACAGGTCCTGAGAGAGAATGAGGACATGAAAGTTTATGGTTTCAGAATTTGTCCTTTGTCCTAAGCACATGGGTTTTCTTCACTCATGTACCTCTTTGGAAAATTTCTTTAAGTGTGTGCTCACTCTCTTCAACAGATACTGAGTTGCATCAGTGAGAGAGTATGACCCAAGGTTATTATTAATCTTTTGGCTATTAAACCTACATGGATTGTAATGTAGTTATTATTCTTGCATTTGTTTAATCTATACATACCTGTAATGTTATTATTAATTCTTTTGCCTTATTTCTAAGTAAATGGTAATGTTTAAAATTTAAATATGTCAGCATTGTGAGTAACTGGTTTCTATAAATGGAAGCACATTGGTGGGGGCTTGAGAGCTAACAACATGGTGAGTAGGGATGGTGGTATTCTACCATAATAGAGTTACTCAAAGGATCCTGGTAACCATTCAGTGGTGATCCTTCTCCAAGGACCTTGTCTTGCCACTTTAGAGGGTAGGGAAAATTTAAAGAGTCAACCCAAAAAGTAGGTATGAGTATTGAGTAGTAGGGAACAGTCCAAAAATTGACTGAGGTAAACATGAGTCTCTGTAATGTGGCTGGCCACCCCCATGCACCTATTACATAAAGCAGGAATTAAACAAGTTTCTTTACTGATGCATTAATATTTTAAGAGAAATTTATAAATTCTTGCTAAGCCCGATTGATTCACTATCTATACTATCTCCCTTTACAACTATATCAAACACTGTCTTCTCAAGTCTCTCACTACACTTCCTGATCTCTCCCTCCTCAGAAAACCATTCCTTATACTTTACTGAGAACATAGAAGCCACTAACCTTTTCTCTCTTCCATATCAAAATCCCCTTGACATTATCCCTATCTTCCCTCCTTTACTCTAGTCTCTAAAGAAATGATGGCCTTTTTCCTCAATAAGACCAATCCCCCTACCTGTATCCCAACCCCTTCCTCTCCCATCTCCTCTAGCAGCTTGCCCCTATAATGATTCCTCTTCTCTGATCTTAATCTTCCATTATCTACTGTTTCATTTCTTGCTACTTACAAATGGACCTAAATTTCCACAATCTTTAAAAAATGTTCACTTGATCCCATCATTACTTCAAGCTGCCATCTTGTATCTTTTCCCCCTTAAATAACCAAACCAACACAGTAAAGTAGCAAGAATGCTAGGTCTAAAATCAAGTGACCCATGTTCAAATTTCAGCTCTATCACTCATTAATTGTGTTATCTTTGGCATTTCATTTATCTGCTCTGTGCCTTACTTTCCTTATCTGTAAAATGGGATTGTTGGGCTGCTTCTAACTCTCTATAACTACAAAGTGTGAACGCTTAGAAAAAAGCTTTTTGTATGCCTCACCTCCACTTTCTCTCCTCACCATTATATCTTAGTCTTTTGACCTTCCCACTCAACTGAAATCGCTCTTACTAAAGTTAACAGTGATCTCTTCTTTGGTAAATGTCATGGTCTTTTCTCAGTCTCCGTCATTATTAGTCTCATTGTAACATTTGATATGACATTACCTTTGGTTTGGATATTTGCTGTTGCCACCTTCTACTCTTGAGTTGCTCTTCCCCTCTGGCCTTCCTGATTGTGTTGTTGTTCTGTCCTTCCTTCTTGAAGAGGATCAATGACATTGTGAAGGTGATGTCTTGACTTGCCCTACGTGAGGCAGCGTTGCACAAAGTCGTCAGCCTCTCTCTCTCTCCTCCAGAGTCATCAAAGTCCAGTGGCAACACAAAGGTTAAGATGACTGGCAGCAGCCCAGGATGCAGTGGGTTACTGACCACTCCTTTTCAGTCTTTTTTTTTTTTTTTCGAATCATCATCTGTATCCCACCTTTACCTGTGGGTGTACTACAAGGCTCTGTTGTTGTCCCTTTTTGCCCCGCTTTCTACAATATCTCTTTTGATGACCTCATCAACTCCTTTGGGTCCAACTGTCATGTTTATAGTGATGACATGCAGATCTATTTATTGAGCCCTTGTCTCTTTCACAAGCTCTAGGACCACGTCACCAACTGCCTATTGGATATTTAGAACTGGCTACCCAGCAGCTATCTTAAACTCAACATGTCCAAAATAGTACTCATTTTCTATCCTCAAAATACCCACCTCTCTTGCAGACTTTCTTATTTCTGTCAAAGGCAGAAGGCAATTGATGTACACATTTAGATGTGCACATATTATTTCTCCTGATAAAATATAGGCTGGTTAGAACTCAAAAGAGATTTTCATTTTTGTCATTATTGCACCTGACAGTGTCTGGTGTATATAGTAAGAATTTAATAGAAGCTTAGTGATTGATTGATTGACTTGCCTAATGAAAGAAATCTGAGAGTTTTAGAAATCCATGCTGAGCATTGTTTTTGTTGTTGTTTAGTCATTTTTCAGTCATGTCTGACTCTTCATGACCCGTCTTGGGGTTTTCTTAGCAAAGATGCTGGAGTAGTTTGCCACTTCCTTCTCCAGCTCATTTTACAGATGAGAAAACTGAGGCAAACAGGGTTAAATGATTTGCCCAGGATCACATAGCTAGTAAGTGTCTAAGGTCAGATTTGAACTTAGGTCTTCCTGACTCCAGGCCTGGCACTCTATCCACTGTGCCATGTAGCTGCCCCAATACCAAGCATTAGGAGGTAGTGAAAAGTTGGGGTGAGGTCAGATTGCCCATATGCTCAAGTCTCTCCTCGGTGGTAAATCAGGAGTTTAGAATGACTCACCATCCGTCCGGCCTTCAGTCTGGGTCTCATTTCAATTCTGCAGATTGACTTGTCATGATACCAAGTGGAAGGATTGAAAAAAAAATCAAATTGCTGCTCTAACCTCCTGATTCATTCCCAGGCAGAATCATCCTGAGAGTCTCACAGGGAAAGAGAATTGAGCTCAAACAAAGAAGCAAACAGTATGTTACCATTTTAGATGCAACAGAGATTAATCTGGCCACAAAAATTTGTTCCCTCAATCAAGCATTGCAAAGAGTTTCCAAAAATCATTAGGCTGCCAAAAAAAGATATGTTCAGTTTCCAGAACTACTAAATATGAATGTCTTTCAGCATGGAATAGTGGAAAGAATTCTAGATTTGGGATCAGAGAATCTGTTTCAGTCCCATACTGGCTTCTTGCTATGTGTGTGGCATTGGGTAAGTCACCTCCCCACTATGGGCCTCAATTTCTTCATGTGTCAAATGAGGGACTCGAGCTAAATTTTCTCTAAGGACTTTTCCATCTCTAAATCTATCTATGACTGTGTTCTGTCTTCCCCTGCTTCCTCCTCCAGTCTTCAATGTTCTACTTCTCTCTATTTCACCAGATGAATTTACCTAGGCAAGAGTCTAGGAGCCTAGAGAGATACGATTTTTTTGAGGCTTTTCTTTTTCCATCCCACTTGAAGAAGTCCTTCACCATTGTTGCTTTTCAAATAGGATTTGTTAATTTTTTCCGTGCTATAAATAAGTAACAAGTTTATCAATCTACTGCTCTACAAATCATATTATTCTTATTTCAGGCCACACAACAAACCTGAAGACATGAATTCCCCAGGGAAATCAATTTTCTGTTTTGTGTTCCTGATCGTGACTTACTGTTCTCAAGCTGCATTGAACCTCAATCTTGGATCCATTGTCCATTCTTCAGTGAGTAAAGCTAACCTCCGTCCTTCCCCTCCCTTGTTTTTGTCTGTTTTTCTGGGCACTTCATGTATTATAAATCTTCTCTTTTACAAGTTTCAAAGGCACCAAGAGGGCATGGGGAGGGTAGAGTTTGTTGCTCTTAGGAGAGAAGGGTAAGATAAGGGGAAAGTGACATAAGCACATTAGTTGGAATATTGTTAGGAGTGTTTTAATATCAACAATAACCCAAAATAGAACACATTCCTTGCACTGAGTAAAGTGTTCACTATAAACTTAACTCACCAAGAGCAAAAAGAAAACAAAACTAAGTGCCAGCTCAAAGGACAAATTATTACAAATGCCTACTTGTGTTAGTCAGGGTATGGACCAGGAAGTACTTCTGAAGCTGTAAGCAATTGTTAGCACCTCACATAGGGACTCTATATTTGTGCAATTCATACTGGGGATTTTGACATCTCTAAAGAAGGTGCTATGTCGTAGCCTGTTAGAATTATAAAGAAATTTAGCAATCAGTTGTTCAGTTTTAACAAACACTGGTTCATCCATCCCAATATATTACCAGTCTGCAAAATGGAGTGCAAAATCAGATATTTTACTCCTAAAGGTCCTCACTCCTTAAAACCTAAAATCTTTCAATAGAATATAAGTTCCTTAAGACTAAGGACTACTTTTTTATTTTTCCCTTTGTATCTTCAGCACCATCATAATGCCTTTCAATTCAATCAGTATTGGATAAATGCTGGAATATTATTAGATATGTTTTAGTATTTGATAAATTTGATTCAGCCAAATATTAGATTTATCCAGCATTTCTTAATGCTGATTGAATTGAATTGGATGGAATCAAATCAAATTGAATAAAATTGAATTGAAACTTTTTTCAAAATCACAGTTCAAAGTTTGAACTTTTAGTACAAATCATGCTAGGGTTGGGGGGGGGGGAGGTGCAGGGAATGTCTCCTTTATGACATAGGCAATGTGTGGTCATCTAGCCTTTGTTGAAGGCCTCCAATGAGAAGGAACCCACTATCAATCAACCAATAAACATTTATTAAAGACCTACTATGTGCCAGGCACTGCGCTAAGCGCTATCTCCTGAGATAGCTCATTCCACTTTAAGATTGTCACTTCTGTGACACCTTGCCTTATCTCAACAACCAGTGTTGATCCTTCGCTTCCTCTACAAATCTCTCATGCCTCTCACTCAGGACCCTCCTGCGCTCTCATCTCATAACCACTTTCATGATAGCAATTTGTGCATGTGTCTCATCTTCCAAAGAGACAGTAAGCTTCTTGAGGGCAGGGACTGTGTTCATTTTAAATCTTCATACTTCAAGTGGCAAGTACAGTGCCTTATGTAAATTAGTGTCATGATGAAAATCCATTGAATAGAAATAAAAATGTTTCTTTTCCCTCTGCCTCTAACCTGTTTCTCCTACCCTTATTTCAGTCACTGCTCTCTAAGCCACCAGGAGCCACTGTGCTGAGACATCTATGCTATAGGGTCAGTTCTAGAACTCAACCTGTTTGTCTCCCAGTCTAATGCACTTTCTAATACTTCTCCTGTTCATTAGAAAATTAAATACAAATCTCTGCATATAAGATAGGCAGCATATTTATCCAAAAACTCCTGAGAAAAGGATATAAGATTTCGACTTGCATATGGAGAAAACCTGTTGGTTCTAGAACAGCGGTGGGGAACCTGCAGCCTTAGGCCACATGTGGCCCTCATAGGTCCTCAAGTTCGGCCCTTTGACTGAATCCAAACTGCACTAGATTATTTCATTTGATTACCATAGCCACCTTTTGAGGTAAATGACTTGCTTAGGGTCACATAGCTAGTAAGTTTCTGAGGTAGGATTTGAACTCAGGTGTTCCTGACTTAAAGTCTAGAACTTTATCCACTATGCTAACTAGCTGCCTCTCTATAGCAAACATCAGACTGAGATAATGTGTCCCTCTTAAAATCAGCCAAGGTTTTTCACGTTATAGGAAATCCATTTGTCATGGCTGTTAAGCCTCTGCTCTAGAGGCTAAAATAATGTTTTTATGATCACATCATCTATAAAATTTTCACATGGCCTTCTTAGGTCAGCTGGATAAACAACGGTGACCTTGATATATAGTTTATAAATGAGCATTGTGTCTTTTTTTAGGGCCTCGCACTTGAAGTGCTACTCTATTGTGAACTACTTTTCCCCCAGAGTCTATGGAACAAAAGATTGTACCATGATTCAGCATCATTAATGCACTTACCACTACACTGCTTAGGAGTTGGTGTCTTTGTACTCGTTGTTGACTGTAAAGTAACAATAATAGCATAGTCATAGACCATTAGAGCTCCTTGGAGGTCATCTAGACCTAACCCCCCCTCCCCCATTATAGAAGGGGAAATGAGATCCAGTGAAGGGTGCAGTGGTCAAGGTCATTTAGCAAGTAAGTGCAAAATGGTGACTTGAACCCTGTCCTCCAGACTCTGAGTGTAGGGGCTTTTTCTATCATTTCATACTTGGGTTGAATCTTTAAATATATTTTTAAAGAGCTATTTAATTTCAAAGAGCTATTTAAATATGTTGGATTGAATCTTTAAATATATTTTCAAAGAGCTATTTAATTTCAAACACCTATTTAAATATATTGGGTTGCATCTTAAAATGTATCTTCAAAGAGCTATAAAATGATGAATGAGTTTACATAATCCTACATGGATTTATTAAGTATCTACCATGTGCTAAGTACTATGCTAGGCACAATAGATACTGAAATGCATCCTTGAACTCATGGCTTTGGTTGTTAATTGCTGTTGTTTGTCTTTTGTTCTTGAAGAAGACCATGACATCAGGGAGGTGATGCCATGACACGCAAGTGAATTGGATTTAAGTGAGAGAGGGCTGGGCAAAGTCACCAGCCTCACTTTCTCCTCGGGAGCCATCTGAGTCCAGTAGCCAGATACATATCAGAGTGACTGGAAACGGCCCCAGATGCAGTGGAAGACTTTGGCCTTTTAAAGCTAAGGTCTTCAGCAGGTCTCAGTTTGACTGAGGCAAAGCCCATTCAGTGATTAAGGCTAGGTAAAAAAAAAAAAAATGAGGCAAAGAATGACCACTTTAACCTAGTCTCAGTTGTTAATACCAGGGATTTGGATCTCAATCCATTCATGCCTGCCCATTCTGTGTAACTTTTGCCCATGATCTCCCCTAAATTTGTCATAGAGGGTCAAACCAACATTCTGGAAGTCTTTCTCAGTATCTCTGATATTACAAGCATACCAGTGGAACAGTCAGGCATTTACCTGTTTAACAGTGGAGCATTTACAAAAGGAATATTTAATTCAAAAGATATAAGCACAAATATACAAATTTACTCCTCCAACTCATAGGAAGCATAACCCTCCTTCCCCCCTGTACCACCTCAGTCCCTGGGGAGGGGAAGAAGATTAGGGTCATAGCTTAGGTCAATTCTCATAGAACATATTCCCAGTTCCAAGTCCAAAACCCCCTCAACTACAAGTCCCAGGCTCTCTAGCTTTTCAGAGTTTCTATGCTATGTCTTCCTGTCTTGCCATGGCTTGAACTTCTGGTCCCATGGAGATCACCTCTGGCACCTGAAAGTGAGAACAAACAACACAGAATAGAAACAAACACCCCAAACTCATTTCTAGGGGCTAGAGTAAAAGAGAGGGAGTGGGGAAAGTATTCCTTCTGTTCTTTCTGGTTCAGTTCATGGCACCCATATCCATGGCCACTGGGCATAGTTGAAAGATGGTAGAAAAGAACATGGCCAAAAGAAGAGAGAACAACTCTCTCTTACCGGTTTTAAAGATGCAGACAACTAATCAAAGGCGGCTACCCCACATATGTGATAGGGGACACAGTGAACTCCATGTCCAAACTGGGCATGCTCAAAAGACTCCTCAATGGCACCCCCATGAAAGAACCAAGCATGCTGAGAATCCCTGACTACATCTGTTATCCCTCATTCTTGACACATTGCCTGCTTTGTTTTTGCTCATACATTTTCCCTGAGAATGTCCTTTACACAAGTGTTTTTTCAAAGTTCCTTATTTGCTATATTGTTGTTGTTCAGTTGTTTTTCAGTCATGCCTGACTCTTTGTAACCCCAATTGGGGGTTTCTTGGCAAAGATACTAGATTGATTGCCATTTCCTTCTCCAGCTCATATTACAGATGAGGAATTGAGGCAAATAGGGTCAAGTGACTTGCCCGGGGTCACACAACTAGTAAGTGTCTAAAACCAGATTTGAACTCAGAAAGATGAGTCTTCCTGACTCTAGGCCTCTCACCTAGTTGCCCTCTATTCCTTGTAAACTGAAGTCTATTCTTACCCACTATACACTTCTCCATTTCCATACCAACAAGACTCATTTTAAATTCCACAGAGACTGGAATATTCCATTTTCACGACCAAAAAATAACATGGGTAAAAAGAATGGTATTAAAACATGGGCTTTTGTTTATAGGAGAAGTTTGAGGAGGCATTAAAAGAGCTTTGCAGTTTCTCAAGAGCAATCCAGCCTGTTTTCCTCCTGTTTTATTCTGAGCTCAACTTGACAAAATGAAAAACAAACCCTGTCCTCAAAGAAATAGTTTAATGAAAATCTACATTATGTAAGGCATAAATCCTGGAAGTTATGCCAATAATATTACCTTTGAGGTAAAGATGTAGGTCGAATTCTTAAAATATTACTTAAAATATTTGAAGTACTTGTGTCTAAACAACTTTAAAAAACTCAACCCAACAACTCTACAAATATTATTTTATCCTTCCTTTTAGTGTACCATGGATCTGAACAAGGTCATTAGTATTTCAACTTTATTTAAAATGTGTAAACAAAATTACGGAAAGATTCAATGACTCACCCAATCAGTCACCTGTACAGACAGAAATAGAATTCCTGAATCTCAAAATGGTGCTTTCCCCACAAGACTACTTCCTTTCCCAAACTAGGAAAAAGGGCTAAGTAACATGAGAACTTTCATAGCT